GGGCTTAGCTCGGCACACAGGGTCTTATGGTGCTTTGTTTGTCACATGCATTCAAATCCACAACAGGCTTTCAAAATCAAGCAACAGAGAGGAATGCTTTCATGACATTTTCATACTTAGTAAGAGCAGTTCTTCATATTTCAAGGTAACAATACAAGTGACTCAGTGACGCACCAGAGCCTCCATCACTTTAGGAGAATCTGACACTGGCCAGGCAGCCAAGAGGTGACATAATGGAACAGGTGTTCTTTTGGAACAGAGGTGCTTTCCAAGGCCAGGAACTAGCCCCATAGTGGGCTCAGAGCAGTGAGCAAAAGATGGAGCCATTATTTATAATTATCAGGAAAGAAATTAAAACTCTATGGTACTAGTATAAAGAACATTAAATACCTGATTATTTAATAGTGGCCACACACACAAAAAGGTATGAGCAAAAAATTTACAGAAAGTGAGTATGAGAAATAAAGCAATGTATATGCAAATGAAGATAAGCCATGATCAAGCCAAGTATCCAACGGTGTCTAGGTTCATCTATAAGTGTAATTGATACAAATTAGAACCCAAGGGATTATTTATAGGATTGAGAACAAATGAATAACAAATTCATCTAATAAAAAAAAGTTCTAGTTAAGCCTGTTACCAGGCACTTAAACACAATATAAAAGGCTATTTACAAAACTAAAAATATAAACACAGACAAGAACCAATAGTCTAGACCCCAAAAGCAGTTTTATAATTTTATAAGGAATGGAAAGTCGCATGCAATTCCACAAATTATCTTCCCTTGGCCATTTTAAAAAGGTAGGTACTGCTTCCTCCAGATATAACTGATGCTCAATGAGAAGGCAGGTAACTTGCCTAAAGCCATTTTCCCAACAGAGGCAAGGTTAGGATTAAAAGGGGGCTATTCAATATCAAATGCCATGCTCCTTTATAATGGGCAGGAAAAGCAATCTAACCAATAATAAAAGAGCGAGAGGACTCTTTTTTTTTTTTTTTAGGTATTCCTGGATTTTCTTTAAATTCAAAGATCATTTTATTAGGGACTCTTACAGCTCTTATCACAATCCATACATCAATTGTATCATGCATATGTGTACATATGTTGTCATCATTATTTTCTGGACATTTACTTTCTATTGAACCCTTGGTATCAGCTCCTCTTTTTTCCCTCAGCACCCCACCCTCGTGACCCCTTGTTAAATTATAATAATTTTTAAT